TTTGACGATGGAGCTAGTCTGAGAAGCAGATTTTGATGCAAGTCGATGGTCAGCGAATTGCGACGGTCGGTTCTAGCGGGTGGGAGAGGCCCGAATATTAGTCGGTTGATGGGCGATAGAGTCGGTCAAGTGAGGTTTTGGGAAGAAAGCGACGGCTGCTCCAGTTGTCTCTCGCGGAGCAATGACCCAGGATCAGGTTGCAGCAGCCCGCAGCAGCAATCGGAGAAGCAGCACTGGGCCTTTCTGAGGTTAGTGGGGACAGGAACGACCAGAGAGTGCATAGGTACCAAAGTGCTAGTAGCAGTCACCAAGCAACCAGCAAATGGAAAGCAAAGCTGCCCTGCTCGGAAAGCGTCAGACAGCATGGACAGCACAAAACAGCGGTGCACTCTGCATACCTCACCTCTGGGGTGGGCTTCCACGCTTCGTACCGCGCCAGCACTGCCAGCAGCTTCAGCAGCAGCTCCAGCACAACGAAGCAAATGCCCGTGGAGCCCAGTGGGACTGGTGACCTTGAACCTGCAATCTAACTTGTTTCGGCCTAGAGGCTTTCAAAGGGACCCAGTGCAAGAGGTACGTAGCGAGTGTACCTGCAGCGTCGTCCGGCTTTTACTCGTGCTGTGAGTGGACGGTTGTTTGTTTCTGCGACGAGACGTGGAAAAAGAGAAGGACCCCACCCACCGCCTCACTCTTCCAACTTCGCACCGCCGCTGCAGCCAGCAAGACTTTGGAGGGCCAATTCCCACCTTACTCCTAGGACCACCTGCATTCCTCTCCTCCTCCTCCTCCTCCTCCTAGGCTTCTCTTCCATGTCTCTTCCCTCGGGCGGACCTGCCGCCCGAAGCCTCGAGCTTGATCGGGAACAACGAGCACGGACCATCTTGCTACCCTTCCACCACTTTTTATGCCTTCACATGTGGGAACTAAATTCAACAAGTGTCTCCCATGAAGGGAGGAGTTTGTCACCTTGTGTTGTGCACCCGCCTCATCTTGCATCGAGATTTCTTTCCTTTTATCCAGATGAGCGCCTGCAGTGTGCGGCGGCCGGTCCGGGGTGACAGCATTCCCGGAACTACGCTAGCGACGTTGTGGCTTGAATTTGACATGACTCTACGTACTACGTACGGATATCTCTGCGCCGTCGTACCTAAGGTTACCTTTGGGTGAGTGGTTGACAGCCTTCCATGGGATTCTCTATGGAGGACTGTGGTGAAGACCATCTCCAACTTTCACATGGCTGACTATCTACCCACCAAGCCAACCACAATGTGCACCTGAGCGATCGTGACATTGCTCTTATCTGGGAATGCACGCATTCCTGGGGTCGCATTGAAATGTGACACAGGTAAGGTAGCTTACGTTGCTTCACGATACATCACCTCATGACCGCCCGTTCCGTGATTTGGCCTTCCTATCTGCCTGGCCTAAAGCCAAGCTCCAGATGAGCGCGAACCAGATACCTAGGTCTCAACGTGCAGACGTTCCCTACAGCACACTCAACTGTGGTACTTGGCGATAGCAGCCAAGTTGCCAAGCGCTTTGGAGTCAGAAATCCAGGGTCCAGTCACACGCAATTACAATGGCCGCTTTGATCCTGTGCCTTGTACTTATACATACCGAGTATCCGTAGAGCTGGGTAGAGAGCTTCTAACCGGCGCCTTCGACTTTCATTTTGTGATGCTTTGGCGATGCAAAACGAAAGTAGATAGAAGAACACAGGGGATTTTGTCCTATTATCTTCCGTCTGATCAAGTAAGTATCATGTGCGGTGTCGGCCACGTACCTAACCTATATGGAATGGAGGAAAATTTGCAAAAAATGTCTCGAGGTGCATGCCTCGTCACGCCCCTTCGAAGATTTTGGACGTGTCTCTGAAGCTTGAGCCGAAGCAAGACAGTTTGTCTCGAGTAAGGCGAGGTATCGGACAATTATAGGCGGAAGGGATCATCGTTCAGATATCCCGTTGAGCACCTGCAGTGTTGAAAAGTGCCTCACGAGGTAGGTATACCTTATCTCACTACCTACTTGCACATGGGCTTGTTCATCGAGAGGGCTTCATAGAGGCTTCGTGGAGATGTAACACCATCCATTACCAACGGCGAAATGCGTCATTGCACAGCAATTTGCCTCCATCGCCATACGGAGCTGATGCTGCTGTACACAATGAGCGCAGCGCTAGATAGAAGCTATAAGCATCTCGTTGACCTGATTGACGACCGCACCCGCTAGGCTAAACACGCCAGATTTCGACTGGAATACAAGTTAGAACACCAAGCATCAGGCGTTGGACGCCCCCAGCGACCTGATTCATCGACTGGGTTTGCCCAAGTTCACTGTTCAACCCATCAGCTTCAACTTTTCCTTGTCTTATCCTTATCTGCCTTATCTTAACAAGAAGAACCTAACGGATACCCGACGCAGTCCAGTTAGAAACAGAGGTACGGCTGCAGTGGGCGAGGCAGCTAGGAACGGTATGTACCTTTCATCTGAGGTAAGACAAGAGGGACGGTACAGTTGAGATAACTGTTATTTGCTACCTAGGTACCTTGCTACTGCCGGTGCCACCAGTGCCACTACCTCAGACTTACGACCTTGCCTCTACTTCATTGCTTCCTGATGCAGGTTGGGAGGGGAATAGAACGGCGCAAGGAGAAAAAAATCACCAAGGCGTTCAGTCCAGCCCAATCCATTCTCCAAACCACGAATTCCATCCCTCCGTTTTTCTTTCCTACCCATTGTCTCTGCCTCCCGTTTCCCCGTCTCCCGCCGTTCCTCCCACACGTCCAGAGGGGCCACGCGCGCCATTAGCCCTCCCACGACGACGCAATGGACGACCCCTCCTCCTCCTCGGCTTCGAAGGACAATGCCGGTCCTGGTTCCATGCCCACGTCGCATCCAAGTCAACAACAGCCTAGCGGTAATGGTCCACTACAACCGCCTGTAGTCGCTACCGCTGCGTCCATCGCGAGACCACATGGTCACGAGCTTCCCTTCGTCACGCCCTCTTCATACCTTCGCCCAAGACCACCCTCGGTTGCTCGCAAAATGCCAGAGAAGCCGCCCAGTCCGCTCGACAAGGACCAGATTCAAGGCCTGGTAAGCTACATGTGTCCTTGGACCCCTCCCTCGACCATCTCGCGCATCGCCGATTTATGTGCTTGAGCCCGCGTGCGCCCCTAGATGCGAGCGCATGCGGGGTTATGCTTCTGCCTCGAGACCGTTGCGAATGGGCATATTTGTACCGCAACAAACCGTCGCTAACTTTGCTCGTCTTTGTAGAGGGCAATTCGCGATTTCCTCAAGGTCCGAACCAGCTACGATGTCCTACCGCTCTCCTTCCGCCTCATTGTCCTCGACAACGACCTCTTGATCAAGAAGAGTCTCAATATCCTCATTCAAAATGGTACGAGTCATGCTACTCTGTCATAACGGAATGTTTGTTCTGACCGTCGTCCTAGCCATCGTGTCCGCGCCGCTATGGGATTCACACAATTCCAGATTTGCCGGCCTTTTGACGGCGACAGATTTCATCAATGTGATTCAGTACTATTGCCAGTTCCCTGACGAGATGCATAAGCTGGAACAGTTCCGACTCAGCAGCTTGCGAGGTCAGTGACGCTCCCATCGCCGTCCAGGCTTTCGGTTGCATACTAAGACGCTTGTCAGATATTGAAAAGGCCATCGGGGCTTCTCCTCTAGAGACCGTATCCGTCAACCCCATGAGACCACTCTACGAGGCCTGCCGCCGCATGCTCAAGACTCGTGCGCGCCGAATTCCCCTCGTTGACGTTGACGACGAGACCGGGCGCGAGATGGTTGTTAGCGTCATTACACAGTACAGAATTCTTAAATTCATCGCCGTCAATAACGAACACAACACTGTCCTACTCAAGAAGTCCCTCAGGGAGATCGGGTTGGGCACATACAAGGACCTTGCTACAGCGCAGATGCACGATTCTGTCCTTAGTGTGGTCGATATGATGGTCAAGCAAAACATATCCTGCGTCCCGATTGTCGACAAGTACAACCGCCTACTGAACGTCTTCGAAGCCGTCGACATTATTCCGTGCATCAAGGGGGGCGTTTACGAAGAATTGCAGTCAAGCATCGGAGAGGCACTCGTCAAGCGTCCCGACGATTCGCCTGGCATTTACACTTGCAGTCCCGAGGACAGATTAGACTCGATCTTTGACACAGTCCGGAAGTCAAGAGTTCACCGTCTCATAGTAGTGGACGACGATAACAGACTGGCAGGTGTCATCTCCTTGTCCGATATTCTCAAATATGTGCTTTTGCACGGCGAAGAGGACGACGTCGTGGGGCATTAAGTGGGAATAAAAAAGGAATTGCATAGAACCAAGAGCGACGGATCCTCGCTGGAATGACTTGGGAACTGGTAGACATGGTAATGAGCATGTGCTAGGCGTACAGAGGCGTAACTGGGAGGAATACCAGATGGTGCCCGAATTTCTTCATTTTACTTTCATAATAGACGATCGGGAGGCTCACGGAGAAGTTGGCCACCTGAATGCATTACGAAATGAGAACATGTCCCAAGTCATTACTATCTATTGCGAGGTGCCCCCGTGCCTCTCGGCATGTTGCAAGATGCAAAGCAGTTGCCTTGCAAGGAGCTTTTTCGGAATACGCCTGACGAGACTGGGTCGGCATCGGGGAGGCCTGCAGGAGCAGTACTCGTACACCGAAGTACCTATGGCAAGTAGTATTCATTCACAATCCGAACATCGGATAAGGTATCCCACCAACAGCTCGCTCGGCCATGCTGGGCAGGTACGATACTTCTCATACGAGCCTAAATAGGTAGGCAGGTAGGTAGACCCAAGCACCGTTGACTTCTTGACCCTCTCCATCGTCCCCGTGTCAACAATCTTCGACATCTGACATTGGATATTCTCCGCTTCAGTACCAGACAGTACCAGCGGGCTCCAGCGTTCGATCTCGCCCACTTTTGACCAAAGAATCGATTTCTTTTTTTTGCTATGCAGCCTTACGACAATGATCAATCACTATCATCGGGCCTGTCTCGGGACATCGAGACTGGCACCATCGAAAGCCAGACCGTTAGCACTGCGCCAACCAGTACTGCGCCTCTTCAACTACCCATCACGACCTCTGTGCTGCCATCAAGGGCCGATCCTCAACCGCTAGCCACATCAGGTACTCTTCCTGCTTTGGTCACTGGAGATGGTCGACGGAGCAGGGCTCTTCCAAGCAGCGCGACATGGACTTCTTCTGTCGGGGACCTGGCCCTGTTATCAGACACAGACGAGATTCAGGACCGTCGAATATTTGTACAGGACTACAATCGGTTGGCCAAGAAAGTATAGCAGCATTCGACCCTTTGGAAGCATTCGGCATTTCACTAACGTATGATGACAGCAAGGAATTCGAGTATTGTCGGTGGATGGCTTCGAGGGAGGAGTAAGCTTCAACGTTCTCATGGCATGGGACATCACTAACAAGTCTAGCGACATGCACTGCCAGCCATTATGACTGAGAAACGGAGGTGGTGGTCTCGAGTACTCCGTTCAACATCATCAGGGCAACCGCCTACCTCGCGAGGAGCACCCCACGGAGTCCGTCACAAGCGAAGCGTCAGCGACATTGCCCTACAATTGGTACACTCTCGCAAACCTGAACCCAAGATCCTCGATCTACAGGCCATGGTTCGACTGAGTGGGAAGAGCCTTTTGCATCTCCCTGCCGACTATGCTATTGGCTCACTTGTTGTGCCGACTTGCTTCAGGGCAACTGCCCAATACTTGGCTCAATATGGTATGTGAATAACATCACCGGACATGTGAAAGCTTCTTCTGATATCTTCCTCTGTAGGATCTGTTACACGCGGTGTATTCCGCATTCCCGGTTCGCTGCGCGTTGTCAATGCAATATTCGACTACTACTGCTACGAAAAGCCGGGAGAAGAAGTCACAAGTACCATACGTTGCCCTACTTTGCCATCACATATCAATGCCGGTGCACAAGATGTAGCTTCAGCTTTCAAAAAACTGCTATCTGTACTCCCGGGTGGCATCCTTGGCTCTCTCACCCTTTTTGACGCATTGGTCGCGATTCACACTCAGCTTCGTGGGGAGCAAGAACTCAGCAGAACAAAAGAATCCAAGCTTCGTGCTAGACTCATTGCCATGGCTATTGGGACCATCAATTCTCACTTTCGTCGGGAGCTTATTTGCGCTGTATTTGGTCTTCTTTCCCTTATTGGACGTGCTGCTGAGACAGCAGCTCGTGAAGATGAGCAGGGCCGGCCACTTCCAACGTCAGATTTGATGGGATACGCAGCTTTGGGGATCGTATTCGGTCCTCTCCTGGTCGGCAATTTGCTCGACTCCTATACAATGAAGCTCGCAAATCCTTCTTCGGGCTTGCTGCTTTTCCCCCTTACCCCGCCGCGTTTGAAAAGGGAACGACAGCGAAAGAGCACTATCCAAGACAATACAGATTCCATGTCTGTTGACAAAATTCGCGTGGCAAACGACATCACCGAGATGCTCATCTCAAATTGGAGAGAGGTGGTGCGCAATATGAAAGGCTTGTCGAGTTTCCGGGGGCCAAATGAAGATCTAGAAAGCACGAGTCGTCGGAAATTTCTTCGTTCATCAAACTCTGACTCTCTGGCCGTCGGATTGCCTAGAGGCTGGAGGAGCAAGCACTCTTCGCCACGATCTTCCATCAACCAACATAGGTCGAAATCACCCGTTACTCCAACACCGGCGCCTAGTAAGTAGAGAGGCATTCAAAGTCTCAGGACTGTGGTAGCTGACACACCTGCAGAGGCTTTGGGTCTGACATTGTCGAAGACTACAGGGAATCTAGATGATTCGCTTCATGTTGGAAGATTACGGCCGAAGTCTTTCCAGGTGCAATCGACTAACAGAATACCTTTGCACCAGTCCCTCAATCCACTCTCTCCCACGGCGGAAGAAAGTCTAGCAGATGATCGAGACCTCAAGGAGAGGAAATTAGGATCGGACACAAAAGCTGTTTCACCACATACGCGAAAGCTAGGAAGAGATCGATCAAATGACTCTGAGAGCAGCGTAAGGCCACGCGCCATCAAATCCCATGCAGCTGCTGCAGAGTGTCTGGCTGGTTACGTGGGTGAATGTTCAAAGAATCAGAGCTCGCTTGACGCAGCCCAGAAATTGACGGGACATCGCAGGCAGCGTTCAATAGGGAGTCCCCGTGTATCGGAAGAAGTCCCAGTCGAAAGAGACTCGGCGAAGACATCTCCAAATCGACTGCCATACGCAATTTCCGAGAAGGGTATCTGGCCTGTACAAAGAGATGTACCCAATCCAGGGAACGAATTCGTAAGGCAGTCGGGGGGCTGTAGGCCAAAGACAGGCGGGATGGTCTCTTCGGCACTTCGTCGATTCGTTGGAAGTGATTCCAGCCGAATCTCAAGTTCCGGAAGCCCAACAGCTAGAACCTCGAAGACAAGGCATGCATCGCCGGATGCTGTAAGCCCATGTACGCCCACTCCGCCTAAAACAGACTTCATCATAACAACGACGCCAGAGTCCGTGTCATATTTGAAGTCTAAAGGCCATGATATGGGCAGAGGCGCAAATTCTATTGAGAAAAACCTTGACAAGTCAATCTCGGCCAAGGCGAACTTCAGAGAAAATAGCTTCGACGGTAACCGGCTAGGTGGGAAGAAACCAAATGGAGATGTCCCGAGATCGAACTCGCCTTCTCAAACTCCGCGTCAGAGCACAGAATCAAATGCTAGATGTGAAAGCATTGGCTCCGTTCAGGTCACTCCAAAGGAGTTTACGACCAAAAGTGCGTCACAGATTCAGCCTCGACTCCCCGTTGCGGTCTCGCCAGAGGCGTTCTAGGAAAAACTGCCTTCGGCCGATCTAGTCGACGATAATCTCCCTTCCTCGATCAATACTAGAGATCTAAAGGACAATGCAAACAAGCTTGTTCCTCGGCGAGCCGACGTAAGTGGTGGCATCTCTCAGGGTCAGTCAAAGTCTCAACGACCGCCAATGTCGCCTCAGTCGACTCTCTCAAGGCCGCAGAGTGTAGCATCCATGGCGGGGGAAATCGCGCAACGCTCTCGAGCATCAAGTTTGAGACCTGTCATAACACCAGCTCGTCCGTCTGGCGGGAGCTATGGTAGCTCGACACCATCACATGGGTCTATCTCAAAACCAGTGGGAGTGCGAGCCATGGCGGCCATGTTTGAAAATGCGTCCCAGGAGTCGCCTTATGTGTCTTTCCCTACAACCCCTCGCCCCTCCCGGACGAGTGTGACGGATTTGGGTCTGCTCCATTTAAGGCAAGAAACTGGGTCTTTTGAAACACCGAAAACGAAAGCATTGGTCGTAGCTCCGAGAGAGAGTGACCCAGATCCAGGCTATGAGCTCTCGGATGAAAGGAATCGACAGACAGGCCATAGACTGAGGTCTGTCACTGACAGCACCGGGTCATTGACTGTTCCTGAGACAACCGAAGCTGACGGAGGTGCCGTCCATCTTGATAGGCCATCTCTGACACGACTTCGGCAAACACCAAATTTTTCGGGGTACAGGAAGTCTCCTTTGAAGGTATATACTCTGGAGAATGACAAGAACTTACCTCATCTTGGGGCCATGACAAGTCCCGCTCAGCAGCCGCCTATTGCACAGCATGTCGTATTTCCCCGTCCCTCGTCCACTCTATCAGTGCGTCAACTAAGCGAGGATACCATCCCGGCACGAGCAGGAAGCCCGGGGAACAATTCCATGCTTCATGCACAGATTCGAAGTCTTCAGAGGCAGCTGGATGTCAGGAATGATGAAAACGCGTCTCTTCGGCGTCAACTTGAGACAAGAGATAACTTGGACATTGGCACACTCAGTGAACAGCTTCGAGTATCCAAAAGAGAGTGTGCCATGTGGAAATCTCGTGCCGAAGCCGCAGAAAAACGAGTCTCGGTCCTGGAACACTTCACGCGGAAGCTGAAGGGTATCAAAGGAGGGGATGCGCAAAATGACACTGATGTTACGTCGCGAAGCGGAAGAGATAGCATCGAAACGTTGGCAACAGAGGATGGAGAAGTTGTGGCGGAGAGAATCAGGAGGGCTATGAGAGGGATGGATGGAACGAGGAGCAGTGATGGCGGGGCTGCAGCTTGGTGGAACGATGACCGGCGAGGTAGCAACACCAGGCACTCGGGAAGCGTGGGTGGGCAACATCAGCCGAAAATGACAGAAGAAGCATTGCTTCAGATTTGGCAGGCAGTACAGGAGCTGCTATTGGAGGATGAAGACTGAATATTGGCACGGGAGGCCCATGAGCCGGCTGTGTCAGGATTTGGGCGCTGGGAAGCCAGAAGCATGCATCGGGGCTTGATTATAGACATTGGGGTTGTCTGGGTATCAATATGGTTTTACATGTCCTACGCTGACGAGCCGACACGCAGTTGTAACAAAGGTGTTATCATGAAGTCGTAGAATTTGTGTTCTGCAAAGAGGGCTACCTATCAGACCCGTCCCCGACTGCGCATTACCCGCAACGCCCGAGAGTAGCATAATGGAATACTAATCACTCTCCTCCCCCGGGTCACGGCGAATCCTCCACCGCCCTGCATCATCCATTCTCATAGCGACGGTGCCGACCGCCATACGTCCGATACCGTCCAAAATAGCGCCCAAGAGCTCCGAGTCGTCGTCGAGGACAACTTCCTTGACCTCCACTTCCGACTCCCCTGGTTTCGACCTCTGCCGACCAAGTCTGCCCTCCTCAACTTCTCGCCCCTTCCTGGCTTTGACGATCCTACTGGAGATCTCAGAGGAAGCCTTGATCTGCGGATGCTTTGAGGTGGAGGTAAGTTCGGGCGTAGACGAGCCGAAGCTTGGCCACGTGGGTATGTCTGGTGATGGCGGTGTTGGAGGTCGGACTGGTGTGCGAGAAGGGGGGTAGGGGATACTTGTCCTCTTGTCGTGGTTCACGGTTGAAGGTGGTCGGTAGTCTCGATCATGTTGGCGGGGTTGCTGAGATGCCTGAATGGTGGAGGCATGACGCTTCTGGGTCTGGGGTGATGGGGGGTGAGTTAAAGGGATAGGGGTAGTTGATCGGTACCGCGTCAGGTTGGGGGAAGGTGGGGTTGGCGTGGGCGGGATATATCGGGGCGGTCGACGTTGAGTGGGAGGTGGTGTTTGCTGCTGCTGCTGTTGTCTCTCATAATCATGCTGGGGAGGGTGCTGTTGCTGTCTGCGCAGCTGAGTGGAGTTCGCCGTGGTTGTGGTGGTCGTCGCCGGCCGGGTCACGGGAGCTCGGGGCGTAATGCGCGCGGGTTGACTGGGTGCGGGAATGTTGAACTGGTTGCGCCCGTATACACGCCCGGACGGCTGGTGCCGTCAATTGTCAAAGACGAAGAGGGGCTTGTAGTGATGCGTTGCCTCTACTACGGCCGCAGCGAGCTGGTAGTCTAGAGAGGTTTGTCAGCGGTGTGCTTTTGGGGGGGGTTTGCTAGAGATGTTGAGAGCATGAAGCACGTTCTTGGACATGAGATGGGGATGGATCTTTGAGCAGAACAGCCCCATGATGTGCCAAGGGTACAAGTTGCTAGGCTCGAACGACGTCTTAAGTCCTCATCACAGAATACCGTTTGAACGTGACGGGACACATGATCTCTAGACAGATGGAAACTAGTGGTACTCACCAACACCGGGTCCCAGATCGCGGGAGGTAAGGACTTTGATGGACAGATCAGGATTGACCTTGCCGATGATCTGAGCACCGTTACCATTGGTGAGGTGCACATCCTGTCAAGGGTTAGCGTCCATCTATCGATATATTAAAGTCGGTCGAAGCAAAGCCGTGTTGGCTTGACAGGGATCTTGGGCTAAAGACCTACGCGATTGAGAATGGCAGTGACGTTTCCGTCCGCGTCAAGAACGGCAGAATCACCACGCAGCTGCAAGACCTTGCCAATGAGCATGACGTTGCGACCGACGTAGTTGTCGAGGTACTGCGCCGTGATGCGCGGGGTCGAGGTCGCTTCGGCCATGGCTTGACTGTCGGTGTTCTTGGTTCAACAGGCTGCTGGTTGTGCGAGGATCTGCGATGAGTGCTACAGACACAAAGTATATGGTTGTGACAGAAAGGCAGTGATTACACTGATTGAATGCAGTTCGTCTTATGCGGGACGGTTGGTCGAGATCTTTGGGATGGAATAGGCCTTGATTGAGGGGCAGACGCGCCGCGACAAGACACCCTCGCCCGGCACTTGTCGCGGTGTCAGGTGACCTGTCAGGTGGTCTGTGATGACACACCTTACCCTATCCGGCCCATGGAGATCTGCGCTGGTCCCTGAACCGTTCTTAGAGATCGTCAAAAACGTTATATTAACGGTATCCTATCCTCGCAACCGTCTCAATCATTATCTATCCATCACAGGGGAGATGACAGAATCGTTCCCTTGGCGAACCATGACGTGGCCCCGGGACAATTGACTTTTGACCGCCTGAAATTCTCGTGGTGTTTATGCCCAATCGGACATTTCACTGTTGGTTTGAAAGACTGTGTCGAGTCCACCCACCAGACCGAAGCATGGTGAGCGAGTCACCAAAGTGGTGCCCTGTGGATCTCATCCTACCACACAAGACTTTTCTCAGGATGGTTTCCTTGCATCCCTATGATGTCATCTGAGTCCCATTGCTTGTTTCTTTTCCCTGAAAGAGTTTGCAGGGCTCCGGCCGATCATTAAGCATCTCGTGATGGAAAAGCGCACCGTGTTGATGGCTGACAGTGGACAAATCTCCCTGGTAGTTCCTACAGTGCCTCGCTGCAACTGACCTTACCTCTAGCACAAGACGACATTATTTGACGGCTTCGTCTTACATCACATCGTTCTTCGAAGGAGGTCGACTTTAGAACGTTGGCCTTGATGTTATCGATCTCGTTTTACGCCTGGTCCATCGTTGCTCGGCATGTTTCAATGTCGCCCTCTGACGACATTGCTCGTTTATATTGACTTTCTGGACGCATGAAGGGTCCTCCGGTGCAACCATCCAATCAAACCACCTTTTTACGCAAAATAACAACGGCTTTCTGTCGCTCAGCATGTTATTTCTAAGCCCCTAACACCTGTCGAGGTTCATCGCGGGTTGAGACGTCAATCTCTTTCCATTTTGGGGGCTACCGGTCTCGGCGGTGCATGGCAGGCTGGGAGAAACTTGGAATTCTGACAGCGGCAGGCAATCAATCGAAACGCGACGACTCGCCTAGGACCGAAGCAAGACGGGACATGAGTCGGCGATGGGGACGCCGTAATCACTCCACTCTGGCATTGGCGGTGGGTGGACAGAGTAGCAAACTTTCCGTGTTGTTTACCATTCTGTGACCCAATATTAGCACATGATGCATTTGTCAAGACGATGTGGCATCGAGTTGAGCTGCGTTGACAACCTCACCTGTCGTTCCTCGGATCATGCACCTAGCAGACAGCGGCTGATAAAAAAAATATTGACTTGGGCGGGTGGCAATGGCAACAAGACGAATTCAGGGTCCTTTGGCGGCAAGACATAGCTGCAGGGAGTGGCCAGTGAGGCCAAGGCCCCTGACCGGGGTTGGGCAGACATCTCGGTTGAAAACAGGGCATTCTGTAAAGTTTGACCTCCTGTATACTGTAGTATATCCGTTCGGGGACGCGAGCCGCTGGTTTCTTCACGCGCGCAACATCCCAATGACCTCAATGATTTGTCCAAAGTTCGTTGGTCTGTAAGAAGGCGGTTTTGGGGGGTTCCTTGGCCGCTATCCTTTCTATTATAGGCGGATGCTGGGGTATTCCAAAGATATTGTATTTCTGGTCAAAGCCTCAAAGGGGGTAGTCTCCGCCAGCAGCAGGAGATAGGCGGACATGGCGGGAATAGCGAGTGACATCAGGCTTGGAGTTGCCTTTTTTTCTCGGGCCGTGACAGTGCTGTCGTGGATCGCAGCACGGCTACCCGGACTAGGTTGTCAGGGTGCTCACTGGGATCCATTGCGACATGAATCGCTGGCGTAGAATCGGCGATCTGGCATCGTGATATCTGGCGCAGACAGCCCAAAACATAGATTGATATACTTGTAGATCTGAGAGACATCGTGAGCTTGGGGCAATCTGTTCAACTTGGACGTGACTTTTTGGTCCCGACGCATCTCTTACTCACCACGCTCACGTAGTGTGTAATGTGTGCAGATGCGGCCTGCCGGGTATGCCGGTCGCTCCATGGAGGAATGAAGGTTACCCAAGATGAGACCACGCCGGGACAAGTCGAGACGGGATGAAGACAAGACCAAAGACGGTAGCAGAGGCAAAAACATTGGTGTTCGATAGCTTCCAGGGAGGGAAAGCACCGCGAGTGCTTAGCTGGCTCCCTCATTATTCTCGTTGTCAAGATGCAGGTTGATGTGGGTGGACGAGAAGGGTAGTTGGGTTTCCGCCGTCCACAGTGTCCCTACGGTGTGAGTGGTAAGGTATGAAGGAGCATGCACTGATGCAGTGCGGTGTCCAAGGTGGGCGAAGTTGAGAGCTGTTTTCTGTTCACGGTGGTTTGGCGTGACCGTTTTGGGCGACACTGAAGTTACTGAACAGTGAGCACTCTGGATGAGGTGGGCTGCCCCTCACTTTCTCCACTCAAGGTACCAAGCGTTCCCGAGCTTTCCCCCTGCACCTACCAGCCATGGGCCATGGCACGCCGCACCCTCAACAGCAAGTGCAAGTGCCAGGAAGGATTGAAGCAAGCAGGGCCCTGGGCAGGCAGGAAGCTGGCAACGGCGGGGCCGCGACGATTTAGGTGGCATGGATGGTGGAAGGAAAGCTCAACCCGGCGCCCGGACCTTCCACCGAGAGCACTTTCCATTGGTTCCCGGACAGCATCAATGTCACATCCCATCTGTCTTGATGGTCGTGGTGGTGGTTGCTGGTCCTGCACTGCTGCTGCTGTTCCCAGACTTTCACACCCACTCCTCGCTGTTCCAAGTCGCTCTCTGGTCTGTGCCCTCACCCGCACCGGCCATGGTCCCTGGTGGGCACTTGGGCTGGATTCCATGGCTTTTTTGGGAGTATCCTTTATGGTAAAGTTGGGCAAAGTGTCGTCTGGAATGCGTCGCTGAATGTGCCTCTTCTGAGGTTGCTAACTGCAACTAGCTCGAACTTAGGCACTGACACACCGTTCGATGCGTCCCCTCATCCCCGGTCGTCCGTGTATTTCCCTGGCAAGCAATGGCTCAAGGGGTTATGAAGGCAGTTCGGCGCCGTGGGCCCATTTCGGTCGCCGGTGTGTCGTACAGAAAGGGAAGAAGAAAGAAGCGTAAGGAAGAATATGGATCTTGAGGACTGTAATGCAATGACAAACGGCAACCGGCGACGGTATTGAAGCGTAGGTGCCTACCATTATCTTTATTATTCTCCGGAGTTTTTCATCCGAAAGAACAGGGACTTGGTCGCAGCTTTCCAACTTCTGCCAACAATTAGCCCCCAAGGCAACGGCCCCATGGCGAACCCAGGAAGGACAAGGTGAGGTGGGAGGGGGGAAGGGCCGGCAGGGTAGGTACCTAGTGACTTTGATGAATGTGCGGCGTGCCTGCCTTCTCGTCAGTCTCTGGCATCCAATGGGTGCCAACCTTACATGACCTTGCACAGCAGAGGGGTCGGATCGGGTGGGTGTGTGTCTGTGTCTGAAGACGAAGTGTTGGATGAAGCTTAGACGGGGACTCGGGAGGTCTGGTTGCCTTAGCTTGTCCAGCAGTAATTATCTGCGATAATTATTAACATCCAGCTCTGCTACACTGCACAGCTATGGCACTGTCTGAGAGGCAAAAAGTGCTTAGCGTAGAAGCTATACTGTCTAGGTACCTTACTTACCCCGCCATTTTGTGTCGCGCAGCCAAGGTAAGCTGAGGTGAATTCATGTAGTGTATGGTGCATCGTACGTACCCAAAGCAAGGGAGGTTAACGAGTGAAGTTGCCCAGCTACAGATTCAAATGGTCGCAATGGTGGTGCTGGAAGTCTGGAACCGGTGCTGATATTGGCGCTGCATGTGTACATCTACCATCGACTGGGTGTCTGCCCGTGTCTGACAGATAAGGTGCCTGTGTGTTAGCTTTTTGGTTTGACCTGATCCAATGTGATTGCTTCTGCCGAGGGAGCAACACTTCAGTCTAGCTAAGCTGAGGTAGATGCACCATCTCGCCTAACTGCTTTTCTCAGTTCTGAATGTTCTACGGATACCTACCTGCCTTACCCTCTTCGAGCTAACTGGAAGCAAGGTAGCGTGAGGTAATTGGAGCCTGAGCTAAAGGCAATTGTTAGGGAAAATGCTGTTGAGGAAAGTAGAAATGTGGTGTTCGAGGCAATGCAATTGTCGAAGCTCCCGTCCTTCCCGACTGCCCATCTCATGTATGGTATGCGGTACTCCGTACCTCATGCCATTGAAATTCCCACCCCCCATTTCCGTTCATCGCCTTCTACCGACGACGACTTCCCATCCCCGTCTCTCATCCCCCCTCTTCCCAACCTGCACACTGTCTGTTCCTGAGAAAAGCTCCTACCTGCCCACACCGAGCCTCTTTGATCCCACATCCATTGTCAATTCCGCTCCATCTGGATTCCACCTCTGCTCCTCTCTGTCACAGCTTGCTAGCTCTGAGCATCATTCTGATCGATTGCCGGAGCCTACTCCGCTGCTATTCGCCTCAGTCAATTTGGCCTCGATCCTCAACACGGCTCCGAGCATCACCATCCCTCTCTTCTCTCCAACAACCTGGGAGATCTCGTCCGGCTCTGCTTCCGTCGTCTTTTGCTTGGCAACCTCCGACCCATCCCTGCCCTCCCGCCGACATCTTCCTTGTGTGACCGCGACTGCGACGGCCCCATCAAACTGCAAGCATTACCAGCCCAGTGCCCACACCACCACCACCTGAGCATCCTTGTCTGGCTGATGACAAGACGTTGCCGCGCTCTCACCACGCTGCAACCGGCACAACGACAATAGGCTGACTGTTATGACATTGGTCTTCTTCGCCGACATCGACAAAGCAATACTCGAAGCTCGGTTTTACGACTGATCGATATTCTGTCTAGCTGGGTGCATCATTTTCCGCTTCTTCCTCGAACCACGAGAGCTTCCGTACGCTCCGGCTCGTTAGCAGTCTTTCGGCTCGTTGGAACGGCGCTCCGCTGATCTCTGCCTACCGTTTCCCGTCAACAAACGCCCGGTCGCCGGCCTGCTTCGACCGTATTGCTCTCATATTGTCCGGATCGGCAGCTCTCCAGATCGTCGACAGTGACTTTTCTCACTGACGCGCGATCAGCTGCCCCAATCATCCGTGGTACGCAGATTTCAAACCTTCATTGAGAACCCCGCAGTACCTTCAGACTCCCGTCCTCAGCGATATATCGCAACATCCCTTTCACCAGCCCCTCCCGTCCTTACCGTTTGCGCCGACCTTACCCTTCTATGTAACGTACGTCTCCTCGCCCTGTCGCTCCATCCCAGAACCCTTTTCGGGCCAGCGTGTGGTATTGCCTTTCTGCGTGTGGGAGAGTGCGAATACGGTGCCCCGTTTACAAGCGACCCCTCCGTTTCTACACAATATCAAGGTATTCTCAATTACTCTTGATGATGCCTGTCTCCCGGCTCCACCGAGTCACCCACTTCCATCCGCATCATTGACCTGTCGCAATCCTAATCCATCGTTCCCTCATACTACCTCTTCTTAATCCTGTGTACACCTTCTTTGATATTGCCAAACGCAGACACTGATCATTAGGCATTATAGCGTGCCCTCCTACGTTTTCGATCTCGACGAGGATCAGCTTCGCTTTTTGAATAAAGCAGCACCTTCTCGTACCCGAAGCCACCACACGTCCTCGTTGACACCGCGCCCCCCAGCCAATTTCGGGTCTTGTCCATCGCCAAGTACACGCAGGCGTCGATATCAGTCCGCGTTTTTGGCGAAACTCTTCATCGTGTGTTTTCTCGCTTTTCCACCTTCTTGCCCGCGATCTTCGCTTTTGCCTTGTTCTACCCTCTCGTACTGCCCGGCGTCGTTATCGGTCCCTTGGGTACTGTCTCTCGATCCAGTCAGCAAGCCCAGAGCCAGTGTCACACGCAAACCACTTGGTAGTCTTTACGCATTGGGTAGGTCAGCAGCGCACGATAAAACGTTCATTGTCCTACTTTGGACCAGATAACGCTTCCCCACCACTGGAACACCGTTTTTCAGCAGAATTTGAGCTCGACACCTTCGCCAGACCTGGCGAGGTCCTTAACCTGGACGATGAATACCCCTCCGAGCTTCTTCAATGATGCGGTTGATATTGCAACACCGACTAACAATGACTTCCCCAGCGATCAACCACGAACACTACCTCTAGATTCGCTCGATTTAGTCCGACCGGAAGACAGTGACACATCGGAGAACATGGCACACCACCCTTCCGTATATATGGCTGTTCCGGGTGCCTGGGATCCACTGGTGACTGGCATGCCCTCATTCTACGGCCATCATGGCCAAGCACAGTACAACACGAAGCAAGAAGACGTCGAAGATAGGCCGACAATACTCAACATACCTCCGGCTTCAACATTTCAATCGGGTGCGCGGGTCGACGCCAATATCTCGACGCAGCCTCGACCGTCAAAGCCGAGTCGAGCAGCGGACCCTTATGATGCCAGCCCACCCAGGAAGAAGGGAAGGAAAGGCAAAGCTCCGGAGCAGAACGACCAAGACCCGAAAAGAGACAAGTTCCTCGAACGGAACCGCGTCGCTGCGAGCAAATGTCGCCAAAAGAAGAAGGAGTGGGTCTCAGACCTTCAGGAAACCAAACAGGGACTGGAGAACCAGCATGCACAGCTGCAGATGGAATACAATGGACTGGTTGATGAAGTTACGAGAATGAAGAACGAGCTCATGTCGCACGCAAATTGCAATGATCCGAACATCAACCTATGGCTCGATAACGAAGCCCGGCGATTCGTTCAGGTGAGCGCAGAGCGTGTAAAAAAGCAAAGTCTTGATGCCAGCCGCATGGCTGGCAACAGGCCACTCGGCACTGGGGGAGGTTATAGACCGTCAATTGACAGTAAGAAAAAACCCCTTGTCCCACGACACAGCATTGGAGGTATTGATTGATGCCAGGTCAAATGTCTCTGATATCGCCTGCCCGCTCAGAGCGTGCTATGACGAGCCTGTCATCGAGATCTGGAAGTGATGCCGATATCAACTACGACCATATGCCCGACAGTGCTTTCGACCACGCATAGAGCGCTGTGGCTGGCGACGATGTGGAATGGATAGCAAGGCGCTAAAACTTGAGAAGCTGAGCTTTTCTGGGCACAGCATGATTAAGAAGCTCTCACTATCTTGAGTGGGGCTTCCAGAATAGGAGTTCGGATGGATTCGAGGACATAGCAATGCTATAATCAATGACTTGGGAGGATAATTACAACAAGGGACCAGACGGAGGAGTTGAGCCGCCAGCTACCGGACCAGAGCTGGGGAAACGACCTGATACCCGGGGGGAAAGTTGGGCTGTACATCTTTTGAGGTGAAGAATCCCACAAACCAAACTAGCAATAGGGGATTCGGATAGACACAAGATAACGATATGAACAAAGAAAATTCGGCGCAAAGCCACTGGGCAAATGCTATGATCTTACGCGAGAGGTGTAAGGCCCTGTTCAGACAGGATGTTTGATGGGGCAAGATGCTGACCCCTGGAGCCCCTTGGGACACCGTTCTCCCAAGTGGTAGTACGACGTGGATAGGTACATGGAGACGATATCCAAACGGCCGGAACATTGGTTCGAGCCCTACGGCAGAGCCAGCCGACCATCTGTAGCTTACCCGTGAGAAGCTTGCTCGCAGAGTGTTGTTATGGCGGGTCCAAACAAGCGAGCTAGAACGCTGTCATCGGCGGTGACGAGTTTGTCGTTTGCCGTATCTTGGACGGTCGAGACGTTGAGTATGCGGCCGTTCCTTCATGTTTTTTCTCGATATCTTTTCTCTCTCCAATACACTTCATCGAATCGTCTGCGTGGGTGTCGATGAAAGGCAAGTTTGGCGATGGAGTCGATCTCCTCTAAACACTTCCCCACTTTTATCCTCC